CGTCGCGGGCTCGGTGCTTCTGGCGGCTGCACGCGTCCGAGCAGTCGGGTGGGCGCATCTGGATACATTGGCGACGAGGTGGAGAGAGAGCGAGGACACCAAGTCGTGGTGGAGGAATTCTGAAATGCAGAGCAGGGGACCCTGGACGGGGAAGCGGGCCTGGAAGGGAAGGGCGGGCCTGGAAGGGACTAGCTGGCGACTTGCAACTCCAGAGCCCTAGGAGCCCTGCCCACCACGGAGTTTCTTCCAGTATTTCATGAGGTCACAACGAAACGTTCTAATGCAAAGGCGGGGGAAATCGTTACATAACAGTAAAAGATGTTTCCAAAAGATGTTGGTGCCGTCTGTCCTGCAAAGGACGGCGAACTGCTAGGAGGGGCGAGATGGAAGGCGAACCATGTGCCGCTCTTGTCTTCTGCTTCTGCGACTTGACAGATGTCAGATGGGTAAGGATGTCTCCATTGTTGTGCTGAATGTTGTCTGTTTCCAGGTCAGAACTCCCTCTTTCAGCTTTTATGCTTCTAGAGGACAAGGTCAAAGACGTGTCAGTGTGGGTCCTTGACAAGGCCAGGGTAAGCGGGAACTTCTTGAACTGCACACAAACTTTCATTCCCTGGGAAAAGTGCAACACGACACAGGAGGGGCTTGGAGTCATACCCTTTAACAGGGCTTAAAATTTCAGCATTCTCCCCACACTAGAAAGGCTACTCACTAAGTCATGTTCACTAAGGGTTATGATCCCTATTTAACCCTCAAAACCTGGTAAAGGGTACCAGGACCAGGTGTGTGTTATCTGTGTTAGTCAGTCTCTGGCTGGATCTTCGGGTTATCTTAATCTGGGTAGATACAGGAATCTTCCTATATGTCACAGTGTGGATACTGAGTCCACTTTTAGGGGGAGGGGAGAAGGTCTTTAACCTTACAAACAATGAACGAGCGGTAAAATAGCGTGGTGGTTTTTTTCCTTGGGGGAAAATGTTGAAGATCTTTAATACTTTTTTATTTTAATTTCTCAGAGTCTGGATCTCACGATGTCGCCACGGCTCACCGCAGCCTCTACCTCCGGGGCTCAGGCCATCCTTCCTGAAAGGACGGGCGGAGAGCGGGAAGTCATTTTGTCTTGTTCCTAGACCATAACACAATGTTGAGAAGGTAGAAACCGCGCCTTGCAGGAGTGCTTTCTTTAGGTAAAGATTAACCTTGCTGACTTTGTCTTTTCAGAAACCCAGATCCCTCCAACATGACCAGTATCTGCCCACTGTAATCTTAAAAGACCCTGAAGATAAGCCCATGCTACCGGTGCCTGGGAACCAGACCCCCCCTCTCTTCCTCAGGGCCCACAGATCATCTACTCGGCACCTGGGAAGAGGGAGCCAGATCCCTTCCCTCCCCCAGGGTGGGCAAATCATCTGCAAGTGGCCAGCAAGGAAGTCACAACAGTCACATCTACTTGATTGCAATACCTCCAAGGGAGAAGATTTAAGTAGGGGGCCTGGGGGCTACAGGGTCACACTCATCTTAGAGTGCTGGCCTTCTTCCTGTCTGTGGGAAGGGAACTTTTCTTTTCTTTTCTTTTTTTGTTTTGAGTTGGAGTCTCACTCTGTCGCCCAGACTGGAATGCAGTGGCCACTCCCAGCCACCACAGCCTAGACCTGCCGGGCTCCGGTGATCCTTCCACCTCAGCCTTCCAAGTAGCCAGAACTACAGGCGCGCGCTACCACGCCTGGCTAATTCTTGATTTATTGTAGAGATGAGGTCTCGCCAAGTTGCCCAGGCGGGTCTCGAACCTGTGGGCTCAGGCAATCCACTCACCTCAGCCTCCCAAGGCGCGGGATTACAGGCTGAGCCACCGAGCCTGGCTGGGAACTTTTCTTAAATAAATATTTTCTTCATCTCTTTGTGTTACAAGTCCTCGTGTTCCCCGGATCTCTGGTTACCAGCGAACACCTCCGGCAAGCCAACTCCAGAGGTGCTGCACCCCTCCACACACCCTCTTGACCCTAACAAACACTTCTGCCTCTGACTCCTGAGAAGAAGGGATTACAGGTGTGCATCACCATGCCCATTTTGTTTTGTTTGTTTGTTTGTAGAAACGAGGTCTTGCTCCGCTGCTTTAGGCTAATCTCAAATTTCTAGGCTCAAGCAATCCTCCCGCTTTAGCTTCTCAGAGTGCGGGCATTGCAGGTGTGAGCCCTCCATCCCACCTAAGGGTCTTGAATAATTTGGGCGAGAAGATGTATTCAGTTGGGTAATGAATGTTGGCTGCGCATTACAGCAAAGCTAAATCTCTGTAGATATTCGTTGCCTTCGTTTTCTAATTATGCATTTAGACTAAGTAATTCCTGAAAATTAATTTTTCTCCTAATAGAGCTGTGTGAGCAGAAAACCCAAAGAGGGTCGGAAACCCTTGGGGGCCTGATTTTTACTCACAAGCAAGGGAAGAAAGAGAACTGGGCTTTTTGTAGACAAGACTATGGCAGACTCACTCATCATATGACTCAAAATTAAGTAGCTACGAGTTTCAAGTGTTGACATGGTCTAATTTGGAAATTTCTGGTTAGGGGCACTTTGAAAACCCAAGATATAACGAGCAATTCGGGACAGTCAAATGTACTTTAGAGTTATTGTACAGAGCACTAAGGGTTTACCAAGCATACAGACCTTCTATAGTGTGTCTCAGTTGATTTTCAGAAGAAAAAAGAAAAGTAAACCAATAGATGTTGCCGTGGCATTCACGACACCAATAGTATACAGCAAAGAATCGCATTCATTTATTTCGCTTTAAAGAGAAAGACTTCGAAAATTTGAATCTTTTTCGAAGATTCTTTTGACATTTACTTAGTAGATTTATGAGTTTAGAAAGAAATACACAAGAAGTTGCATATACCAAAAAAAAGGAAAAGAAAAAGAGAAGAGTTATAATTTTTTTTTAGTTGGAGTCTCACTCTGTTGCCCAGACTGGAGCGCAGTGGCATACTCCTGGCCACCGCAGCCTCGATCTGCTGGGCTCTGGTGATCCTTCCACCTCAGCCTTGTAAGTGGCTGGAACTATAGGCGCATGCTATCACACCCAGCTAATTTTTGATTTATTGTAGAGACGAGGTCTCCCCAAGTTCCCAGGGTGGGTCTCAAACCCGTGGGCTCAGGCAATCCACCCGCCTTGGCCTCCCAAAGTAATGGATATAATTATTATAGGTAATAGAAGGAATGTCAAGTTGCTTCACTGAATGATTTAGGTGATTACAATGATAATTAAAGGAACAGTCCCCTGGGAATAAAGTATTTTAATACAGGAAGTAGTAATATCTTGTGGATTTGAAAAGCAAGTTCACATGAAATGGGCCCCCTAGATTTGCTCTCTAAATTCATAACTGGCAAAAGTTGAGACAAGTTTGAATATATATTTGTCACCCTTACTTTGGAATTATAGTTTCTAAGAGAAACTCTGCATTTACTTGGTAAAAGTAGTGATTAATTTAATCTCTAAATCCTGTGATGTTCTGGAGATTGAAAGTTCTGTGCTCCTTGCTCAGGTGTGGTCAGTTTTGCTATGGACACCAGGCTTAGCAAAGAATGGCTTTGCTGCTGACCTCTGTCTTCCATGTCCACAATGATCTCCCGCTTCACACGCTCCTAGATCAGCTGCAGTGTGCGCTCAACGGTGGCTCAACCTGTAATCCCGCGCCTTTGGGAGGCTGAGGTGAGTGGATTGCCTGAACCCGCGGGTTCGAGTCCCGCCTGGGCAACTTGGCGAGACCTCATCTCTACAATAAAAATAAAAAAAAAATCAGCCGGGCGTGGTCGCACATGCCTGTAATTCTGGCTACTCGGAAGGCTGAGGCGGGAAGGATCGCCAGAGCCCAGAAGGTTGAGGCTGCGGCGGCCGGGAGCAGCCACTGCACTCCAGTCTGGGCGACAGAGTGAGACTCCGACTCAGAAAAACCCAAATATCTCTCTGTTTCTTGCCATCTCCACAATTAATGAGTCACACGGGTAATGAGCCAGCCGGTCACTGGGGGTGTGAGGCCTTCTGCAAATGACAAAAGACATGACACTTTACAAGTCATGCAGAATCCAGGGTGCTTAGATACGCTGTGCATTTTGGAAGGCACTTCTCAAACATTTGAGAAGAATGAAATTTCCACCACTAGACTATAAGCTCCACAGGGAAGCTGTGAGTTCTTTTTCTATTTTGTTAGTAACAATTCCAAATGTCAGTCACAGTAATGAACTCACAAATATGTATTTTTTAATGAATTATTGATGTAAACTATAGTTTCTGTAATAAAACTATGGCGGAGTTTTATGAAGTGGGAGGGTCTATGCATGAATTCCAAGGGTCTCACTTAAACTCTCTGAAATAGTATGCAACACTCTCAGTTTGCGGGTCTTGGCACTTTGTGTCTTCCCTTTTCCAGAATGTACCACCTAGAGATTCCCCCTCACCTTTAGAATCCTAACCCAGCATCACTCTCCCTGTACAGTCTCCCTGAAAGCTCTGACAAGCTATCACTCCATCTCCTCGATTACTTTTGCACCCTTACATACCCCTCTTGTATATCTCTTTAAGATGTACTTGAATTGCTGACATATCGTCTAGTCTCCTAAAGAAAGACTACCGATGAGACGTCATATTTACCTTTATACCCCAAGTACCAAACCCACTGACCGGCACAAGGCAGAAGCTTATGTAAACTTGGAGCACTGAACCAAATAAAGAGAAAACTGGAATCACAGACTGTGAAGCAAACTGCTTCAGAAATTTTGGTCCACTAAGGTATATCGCATCCTCTAGGTCTTGAATCTTAATAACTTTAGATGATAATAGCAATGATACCAATGGCTTACTTCCTTTAAGCACCTTTCATGCTCCAGAGACCGTTGAAGCACCTTTTCTGTATTGTCTTATTCTATTCTCCTATCAAGCACACCCATGAAGATCCATCATTATCCCAATTTTACTGGCAAAAAGTCTAATGTACAAAGACGTTAAGTCACTTGCCCAAGGTCACCCAGACAGAAAGTGATAAAGTGAGGAGTCACATTGAGAATACAAATAGTCTGCATGGCACTAGAACACAAGTCCATGACCATCAAACCACACTCTAGATGTGCAAAAAGTCAGACGATACTTGATCTGGCATTTTAAGATTTCCCTTTTTGATCAATAGCTGCAAATACTGGATATATACTTGATTTGATCACAAAAGCAGCAATCGTCTTTTCCTTAATACATTCTGGTATTACAAGCACAAGTCAGTTTTTGAGATTGGAAGGATTTCCTAATTTATAAACATTCCAATTCAAAGTAAAATAAAGAAAAGCACCGCATATCCTAAACAACATTCTTACCTGTGGGCTCCAACTTAATATCCACTCTCAATGTGCAGATCACAGGAGCACTCAGTCTGACAACCTTTGGTGGATGCTGACATAACAGAGCCCATTGCCTGGTGTCTGTTGTCAGACTGTATAGAGTGGGTCTGTGGCATAAATTAATGCCATAAATTCTATGGGGAATGGGTGTCCTTCCTTTTGAGACTAAACTGACAATGATGGCTAGCCCAGATGTTGGCATGCACACAAGAACCACAAAAGATACTCTGCAATTTTATCTACTATCCCTGTTTTGATTTGTGGAGATTATAAAAACTAAGCAGAGCAAAAATAAAATTTTTCAATCGAAATAAAGTCTTACTGTGACAAAAAATGTCTTCGTGTGGAGTTAATTGCACTGCTAACCCTCTGTGCAGCATCAAGAATGGACGATTCAACAAAGTCATCACCAGCTTGTCTACCCTGTATGAACTTGAAAATCAATTTCAAGATTAAAAATATTACAAAGATCTTGAAGTTAGGATGATATAATATAACTGACTTTACAGTTTTAAATGAAAACTTTTAAGATAATATCAATGTTATTCAATGTGTACATAATAATGTCCATTGCAAAGAAGTAGGTAATTATCTTAAAGCAAGACTCATTCTATCAATTACAGTGTTATTTAGGAAATTAAAGTATTCTAAAATCTATTCAGACTATGTGAAATATTTCCTTTTTTATAATACTGATTCATATCCAAATTTGTTAGCAATTTGTCATCTTGGAAAAAGTATGAAATGTCTATCTCGTCAACCACCTTGTTTTAATGTTAAACATTAAACACTAAATTAAATGTTTAACATTAAAACAAAGTCAGTATTACCCCATCCCCATGAGGTTTTATAGGCAAGAACTGAATTCTCAGTAAGATTTCATTAAAAAATAATCTATTCTCAGCCGGGCTCAGTGGCTCAGCCTGTAATCCCCTGCCTTTGAGAGACTGAGGTGAGTGGATTGCCTGAGCCCATGGGTTCGAGACCCGCCCAGACAACTTGGCGAGACCTTGTCTCTACAATAAATCAAAAAATTAGCTGGGTGTGGTAGCGCGCGCCTGTAGTTCCAGCTACTTGGAAGGCTGAGGCGGAAGGATCGCCGGAGTCCAGCAGGTCGAGGCTGCGGTGGCCGGGAGCGGCCACTGCACTCCAGTCTGAGCAACAGAGTGAGACTCCAACTCAAAAAAAAAAAAAAATCTTCCCTTTCTATAGGTTTGCAACATATGAGGAGACTTCTGCTAAGTTGAACATTATAGTCAAAGGCAGTTATTCGCTTACAGAAGAGTTGATTATCTCTAATATTGAATATTATCCAGATAATTGTTTAAGACATTTAATCTTAAAGCAACAAATACTAAATACGAATTATGAATGAATATTTAGAGCTCATAGAAGAGAAATAATCGAGTGTATTTAGTTCATTTTTTGTATATTAAAAGTATAAAAATTTATATAACACACAATTAAAATAATAACTTTCTAGCATTATTAAATATTAAAAACAAGGGTATAACTAGCACCAAAAATTAAGTATGAAAATTGCGTAATTAGGGTATAAATGAAAAAGATAAATAACTTAGTAATAGGAAGGTATGTATTTTGCATATTATTAGAAGAATGATAAAGTAACTAATATAAGCTTAAGCAAGTTAATACCACAGTATAGCATGAATCTACTATATATGTGTATATCTATATATGTATGTAATATGCATATCTATGCTTATATATTCTGCAGTAGATAGGCCCATATGGCACTCCACATCTGGATATTATAGAAAAAAATCTTTTTGTTATCATAATCTATACACATAGATTTTATTGTCTTAAAAAAGATCACTAACATAAAACAACTTCAAGAAAAAAAATGCTGATGGTATGGAAGTATTGTAAGGAACAAGTAAAATTAAGGAATGAGCCAGGCTCGGTGGCTCAGCCTGTAATCCTGCACCTTTGGGAGGCTGAGGTGAGTGGATTGCCTGAGCCTGCAGGTTTGAGACCCGCCTGGGCAGGCGAGACCTCATCTCTACAATAAAATCAAAAAATCAGCCGGGCATGGTAGCGCGCGCCTGTAATTCCGGCGACTCAGAAGACTGAGGCGGAAGGATCGCCGGGGCCCAGCAGGTCGAGGCTGCGGTGGCCGGGAGCGGCCACTGCCCTCCAGTCTGGGCAACCGAGTGAGACTCCAACTCAAAAAAAAAAAATCAAGGACTGTACTGAAAACCCTTCTTAATAAACTAGATTATGTGCAGTAGTTAAAAGTAGGTGGTTCCATTATCAATTCAGCCTTTATGATGCCTGCCATATTGAGCCTAGAAGATCAGTGTTGCCTTTTCTGGTCTCACACACACACACACACACACACACACACACACACACACACAATGAATTACATTAGCTAAAAATAATAGAAAACAAAGACAAAAATTGATTAGCTCAATTATGTGAAATTAATCATTTCAAGTACAAATATTTATGACAAAAAACTAATAGGCAAATAACACAAATAAATAGGTGACAATATTTGCTATTTCTAAATCTGACACAGAATTAATATTCTACGTCATATAAATCTTATAATAAAGTAAGAAAGAATATACACAGGCAAGTTATAAAAGAGGAAAGCCCTAAAAGTTAATAAGGATATACAACATATAACCAATGACAGTGTTATTCAAGGAATTAAAATATTCCAAAATCTAGTTAGCCTATGTGAAATATTTCCTTTTTTACAACACTGATTCACATCCAAGTTTGTAAGCAATTTGTCAGCTTGGGGAAAGTATAAAATTTCTATCTCTTCAGACACCTTGTTTTAATATTAAGCATTAAACTAAATGGTAAACATTAAAACAAAGTAAATATTACCCCAAACTCATAGAGGTTTTATAGGCAAGAAGTGAATTCTCAGTGAGAGTTCAGTGAAAAATAATCCAGTCTCTTCTATAGGTCTTCAACTGGGAACCTCAAAATCACTGGTAACATCAAAAATAAAATTTAAAGTGCCAATGAATAAACATTTTATGCTTATTCTGGAAAACATAAAAAATATGGTTAAAGTCAAGTTTTCATGAAAGTGAGCAGACATAGAAATCCTCAGGAAGGCTGATGAAACTAGAATTGACACGAATTTTGGAAACTGTATTTAGAGACTCTAGTTTTGTTTCACTTTTACTTAGTAAAATTATATATGCATACACCCTTTCATCCATCAATTCCACTCCCAGAAAATGTATAATTCAAATCCCTAAGGGTATGTATGAGAATGTTCATTGCAACTTTGTATAGAAGAATGGGGAAAATTGATTGTACAACAATGGAAATGTGGGCAAGGAGAATGTGGTGAGTGTTCAATGTGGAATTTCATGTATCAGTTAATATTGACTGGTTACACACATGGATCAATGCCAAAAAGATAGTTGGTGCAAAAATTAGAGGACTGGAAAGAAATTACCATAAAATGAATAAATTAAAATGTATGATAGTTAAATGTACTATAGATGTTACATATATAGTGAGGCTGATGACAGCAGAGTGTGGATATAAAAAAAGGAAATAAATGAATGAACTAACCAACTAGGCAAGCAATTAATATAATTGCAATGATTATGAGAAACTGAATGTTCTCAATATAACTATGTGAATCAGGTTGTTATGTGTTCAAAAACAAATCAGTAAGAATGAGTCTTCTACTCCACATGGTTTTTCCCTATGCTTTCAAAGATCTACTTAGATTTGGAAGAAAAGCTGTGTGCTAGGATTGAACTATCATATAGGACACAGTGGTATTGAGATGCCAAAACTCAGAGACCTTTTCACTGTGGCAGACAACTTGAGAAGTGATTATAAATTTCAGAAAAGCATCATTTAAGATGTTAATATGAGTTTCATTTGATTGATGATTTTGCTTTTATTCTATTTATAAAATAGTCTTGCTATTATAGCTATATAAAATTTATAAGCATAAAGAATTTTACAACACTCCTCTTTATCTTTTGACTTATCCATAAAAGACTTGCTCAGCCTAGAGCTCAGATCCGATGTGGTTACCAAATGTGGTTGTCAGATATAACAGGCGTGCAAAGTTCTTCCAACACTACATGGTAGGTTTTCTGATTGCTGACTTTGAAAACCTATAGGTAATCAGTATCATCATACAATTACCAGTTGACACTTTATCATCCTGTTGTTTCCTTCCCACTTTATTTGCTAATTCTCTATATTAATAAGAAACCAACCTGTGTGTAGAAATGGAAAGGAGAAGAAGGTAACAAGTAAGTTGGCATCACGTGCATATTCTTTAAAAGAATTGAATTTGAAGCTGCACAAATAAAACACATAAAAGTTGTTTGTGCACAGATTTTTGAAAGTATATTAAATATGTAATATGTTTACCCAAAAACATTCTCGGTAATGTGAGATAAAGCGGCAAATTTAAGAAGCCATATTTGCTCATTTCTGCTGGCCAGTATAATTTCACAAAGCCCTTGGACTCTGTGACAGCAAGCAGCTCTCTGGAAGGATGCCTTGAAGATGAACGGGGTAGAGGACACAGCCCCCAGGCCTCTTGTCTGAGTCTCTACATTTCTTAAAAGTTAAAGGACCGTAGTCTTCTTTTTTCCTATACATGAAATAACATCTGACAGGGTCAGTGATTACACTTCTGTGATCTATAACCAGATGGACTCCTACACCGAAACCTTGATGTGATTCTGCTTCAGTGTAATTTCTGAGCAAGTTTGATGTGTCTTTGCAGGCATTAAACCCTCACCACCTAGATATAAGCAGTAGCTGAAATACTGTGCACAAGTAGTCTGATAGAATCTCTTAAAAGGTTGTTAAGCCTCGGTCCATAATCCTCTGTAAAACTTCTGAACAAAACTAACTTTAATCCTTTAAAACACGCCTTTGGGAGGCTGAGGTGAGTGGATGGCCTGAGCCCACGGGTTCGAGACCCGCCTAGGCAGCGAGACCTCATCTCTACAATAAATCAAAAAATCAGCCGGGCGTGGTGGCGTGCTCCTGTAATTCCGGCTACTCGGAAGGCTGAGGCGGAAGGATCGCCGGAGCCCAGCAGGTCAAGGCTGCGGTGGCCGGGAGCGGCCGCTGCACTCCAGTCTGGGCGACCGAGTGAAACTCCAACTCAAAAAAAAAAAAAAAAAAAGAAAGATTTTTTTTTTAGTCAACAGTAATAATGCTTTCTCACTTCTATGTTATTTTAATTATGATTGTTTTAAGTTTATATGGTTTTGAGGTCAAACCAAACTAACCCTTTCATTATTCATTTGATTTAATTTGGCTTGGTACAAATTGTTAAAAATAATTCCATTCTTTTTTAATAACACTGTGTTATGCAAAGCAAATTTAGTTTATTGGGGCACATTAGAATTAATCAATACTATTGTATTGATCTGGCTCAAAAATCACCTC